GTTTTTCTTTCTTAATAAAGGAAAGAAATAATAAAAACAAATAAACAAAAAGAAAAAAAAGAATTATAATATGTAAAAATAGTTTAATTTTTCCATCATTTATAAATGTAACACAATAAATAAAATTTTACATATATGACCATTTTAAATAGCAGACACAATCATTAATATAGGTCAAGAGTCACTAATAGACGTACTGTTACTAATAGACGTCCATCAAATGTCCATAAGTGACAAGCATTTATTGCTGATATATGTTTATGAAACTATCTTAGATAGACATATAACTAGTTGATGTAAGTGATGGATTGATATGCACCTATTATTAATATACTATCAATCATAGACGCAAGAAAATTTACCATATTTATAAATCAAAACCGACCAGATAAACACATGTTTTCGATAGTTTTTTATTATTTGGTTATAATTTTATGAGTCAAACAATTATATATATATATATATATATATATATATATATATTTTTAGTTGTCTCGAAGTCAATGATTTGACCTCTTTGATCCGACAAATAACAACATATGTTTTAAATATGAAAGCAACAATTAGGGTAGAATTTCTTTACCTGATGGGTCACGTGAAGAAGACTTTTAAAAGTATTATCCAACATTTGCATATTTTTTTCCAAGAAATGACACTCTCGTGTTCTTGTCTCTATTTTGTTTCATTTTGCTATATACTAGTTCTTACTTGACCATGCATTCAAATCAATTTTTTTTTTCTCGATCTTTTTGTGGTATATATTATGACAGCGGATCTCTTCATATTTTTATAAACGATGATACTATTTACTTTGGGCCTGAGTTGGTATGATAGGTGAGTCCATACTAATGGTAGATAGTTGAGTCAATATAACACTTTGATTTTACTCTCAATTATATATAATGAGATTTATGTCAATTTGATCCATATATTTTTTTTTTAAATTTAAATTTTATGTTTGTATTGTTAGTGTTCTTATTGTTGACGTAGGATTCTAGACGAAGTGGTGTGTCAGCTTTGAATCCATGATGGACGTCTATTCAAATTTGTACAGAACCTTACACCAATGTTGTGTTTGGCTACTTATGCTTAAGCTTAAGTTAGAACTTAGTTTGAGCTAGTGTAAAGCATAGCATAGTTACGTTGCGCGGAGATTATGTACCTTTGTGACCAGTGGACTCCATCTTTTTATAGGGAAGCTTTGTGAAGTGTTTCCTTCCATTCTACCGCTCTATGATTGATTGTTAGAAGATTTTCTGCTGGCGATCATCAAATCTTCTAGTATTTTCTTTCCCAAGTCGATTTCGAGATGTGGGCTCTAGTTTTGTGAGTAGAAGTTATTTTACGAGTCACTCTTCATCCTCGGTGTGGTCGAGTTGAGGATCTAATACGTATTTCCAAATGATAGGGATAGTGGTGTCACCTCATGTGACCCCTATCTAATACCTACCATTGACGGACATAAAAAATGGTTGACTTCATCAATTTTTAATTTGAAATTTATAATAGCATTACATTAGTTTTTCAGGTCCTTGTCTTTACATCCCTCATTAACTACGATTAAGATTAATAAAATAATGTATATGGAAAATATTAAGATTTGTAAAACTACTAGAGACAAGACTGACATAGACACAAAAAATTTCAAATTCATTCTTTAATTTATTGAATTTTCTTTTCAACTAAATCCTTACCGCCCTTAAATATGAAAAAAAAAATAATGATATTATATGAATCTTAAAAAAATATAACAATTTTTATCCAATATATTTGTCAATTGTTAGTATACCAACATACCAAAAAAAAAAAGTTCGATATTGAACTATTACATGCTAAATCATATGATATAAATTTTTAAAATTTTTTATTTTTTTGATGAGTGAGAGTATTTTCAACTCAATTAATAAAGTGCATAGGTTGACACATGTATATCATCTCAGTTGGTTAATTTTAACATTTTGTTATAAGAAAAACTTGATAAAAAAAATACTAATACATAAAAGATGAAAAATGACAACTTTATTAAACAACGACCCAAACTCAAAAAAGGATCCGAATATTAGGAACTAAAGTATAAATTTGGATAACAATTCCACCATCTTTTTGATAGTACGGTTCTATCAAAGTTCAGATATATTCTGTAACAATTTCTTTTCCTAATTCTTTTTAATGTATATAAACATTAAGGACAATAACTTGTTATTTCATTTTTTCTCTTTCCTTAAACTATTACCATAAGATTTTATCTCTTTCGTCATTAAAACATTTATTATCCTTCTCATATCGCTATCAACTTGAGCATAGTTTTAATTAAAATTTTTTGAATTCGCATCCAAACCCCATATGGTGTACTAAAAATAATTCAGCTTCCTATATTCCCTTTCTTATTATTTTTTTTTTCTTTATCACATCCAGTTATTAGGTTGGAAAAAGATAAATAAAAACTTTGCAGTCAATACAACTCACGATTAGGAACCTACAAATTCTGAGTTCTCACCTCATCCACCTCCAAACCTTTCTCTCCTTCCTCTTTTATTTTCTCTATTTTTAAACTTGTCATTTCCTCTCCCTCTTTCATCTGGATTAATATTCGGACACTAATTCATATAAATATAGTTTTAGATATATTTATTCTAAATACTTTTTTTAATATGTATTATTAATTAAAAAATTATAGCAAACCTGAACATAACTCAATTGGTTAAAACATATATGTTAGAGCAAAAGGTCAAAATCAGAAAATTAAAAATACATATTAGAGAGAGAAAATTCTATCTAGAGTAAAGATAACAATGATGTGGGTGCAAGTGAGGATGCTCCCCTCCATTCTTGTTTTTGTCATCCCTAATGTAGAGACATGAAAGAAAAGTTAAAGACAAAAGGGAAGAAGAGAAAAATTTTAGAGAAAAAAAGTAAAGTCGAGAAAAAATATATGAAATAAAAAAATAAATTAGAAAGAAAGAGAAAAATTATAGGGAAACAAATTTAAAGATAAAAACAAAATTTAAAATAATATATATATAGAAAATAAATAAATATAATGATAAATAAAAGTTACCGTGAAAGAAAATTGAAGAAGAAAAGAAAATATAATTTTCCATGGAAAAAATAGATTGGGAAGAGAAAGAAAAATTATAAAAGACTAAAGTTTAGAAAAAAAAAGTTTGACAAAATATTAAATTTTAAAAAGGGAGAAATGATTCCAAGACGTTTAACAATATAGAGATGAAAAATTTGGAAAGGGACAAATAATAATAAATATTCCAAATATTCCAAATATGAGAAAAAGGAAATTTTGTAGGGAGAAATTTAGAAAGAAAAAAAAATAGAGTGAGAGAGTTTTTAGAGATAAATATGAGAAAGAAAAAAAATGTTAAGTATTAGAACAGAAAAATTAGATTTTGAAAAACCCAATCCCATTTTTTAAAACTACTTTATCTTTATTTATTTTTTTTGAAATTTATATAGAATTTCAAAGTGTTTTTGAAAAAAAAAAAGAACAGAAAATTTAAAAAACTAAAAACCAAAAACTAAAAATTAATTAGGAAATGGTTATATGGCCTAACTATAACAAACTATTATACTTTTCCAAAGAAATGAAGAGGGGTTATGATATTAGAAGTTAGTTAAAATATAGTATTTATGGAGCTTGAGATGCATATTGTGAGAATGGTGCCTATATTGATAAATTTATATAGTTTGTTAGTGTGTTAATGAATTCTATTAAGTGCAGATGCATTGAGAATTGCTGGAGCATTCATGATTGATGAGAAGGACAATTTACCTAAGTCCTTAACTAATTATAAACTGTATATTAAGGAGAAGTTTTTTGGCTCTAAGATGGATCCCAACAACGACTTAGAATAGAACTTTGATGACTTCAATTGAGTTGTGGTTGATTTGAGTAACACAGAAGAAAAAATGTGCGATCTTGAGATAAAGATGTTTAAAGGAAAAGAAGGTGAGGCTTTAATGGCAAGAGGAAGAACTGATGAGAAATCTTCGGAACCCAGCAATTATGGAGGGAGTTCAAAGTCGTCTCAAGGAAAACAAAAGTGAGTCCAAAAAGGAAGATGAGACGCGTAACGCTAACATTATAGAGAATTTTGAAACTGTTGAGGTTCTAATGGTATCTGGTGAATTGGAAGGAGGTAAAGTCCTTTCATGGAATCACACCAAGACTGCAGTGTTAAAGGAATTTAGAGTATTCAACTTCAAGTATTTTGACAACCAAGTAAGAATTCTTCCTTCACTCAGGTATGCGTACCTGATTTATAGAGAAGTCTGCTATCCCTTAGCTACCCATGTTCAGATGTCTGGAATTTATAAAGATATCTGAGAATGTTTTGATTGCTACGTTTGTTTTGCAATATTTATTCCTAGGAATATTGTAAATTTGTATAATGTTCCAAAAATGTCCTTACCGGTCATCATATTATTCATATGTTAAATTTAATATTACTTGAATTCATATAAAAATTTTACTTTTTTAATTTAATATTAGATTTTTATGTCGATTTTAATTTATGTTTGGTGACTATTGGAAGAGTAAAATAAATTAAAGATTTCACGCTAGATTTGAATTAAAAATAAATTAAGATATTATACCATTGACTAATGTTAATTTTATATCTAAATATAGCATATAAATAAAATTGTATTTAGACATTTATCAATGAATTAGTGGATATAATAAATATTATTGATGGAAAAATATTATATAACAAAAATGAAAGAGAGACAAAATTGTCAAAAAGAATATGCCCTCGATATGTCCCGTGGAAATCCACGAAACAAACGGCCCTCAGAGTAATTGACAACTTTGGATACACTTGCAAGTCAGAGAATGGTACAATGAAAATGATTAAGGGTGCCATGGTAAAATTAAAAGGTACACTTGTCAATGGTTTATATATATTGTAGTTGGTTGAGCAACTGTAACTTCTCAAAAGAATCAGGAAAAAGCTAGGTTCTGGCATATGAGACTTAGGACAAGTTAGTGAAAGAAGAATGAAGAAGACTTAGGACGTGGCTAGAAGCTCTAGCCATTTGTAATTGCAGGATTTAGATTCGGGTTTCAAACAACACTTGCACACGTAATAGATCTACGTACCGGTGTGATGCTTGAGGACTAAATTAGACAAAGAAATCATTTGAGAATAGTAAAGAGTAGAGTTATAGAACATCCCTCGCCCTGGCCGCCCCGACCTGGAGTCTCCTCAAGTTAGGTCGAGTCTGATCTGTTCTGGTCTAGTAAGGTGGTGCAGCTCGATCGACTTAATCCAAGAGGCTCAACCCACGTTGCTTCCTTAATCTCCCCTCCTGTCCTAATTTCGCCCACTCGTAACAGAGCTTATGTTGCTTGATGAATGAACTTTGAAAAGAAGATAGAATGGTAAAAAACAAAATCAAATCTCATATATAGCACAGGGGAGCAAGCCAACTCCAAATAGAGAAAAAGAAGAAGAAGAGATACAAGGAGAAAGATTTGCTCAGTGGGAGCAGAAGCACACAGACAAATAACATAAGAAAGATAAAAAAGAAAATGTGTGAATGCTGGCAATAATAATATTGGTCAAAGATGGGTTGAGATATCCCTGATCAAATCTCCATCATAAGATGACCAAAATGAGAGATCATTGAGAAGTGATAGCCTTTGCTTTGGAGTGCTGATTGATCTTGTCTTGGCCTTGGCGGACTCAGTCACAGCCATGTATGTTGGAAAAACTGGGGAGCTTGGCATGTAACTGTGACCTGATGAGTTATTATTATTCTTCACATGGCAGAAAGATCTCCTTGGGAATGAATATTCTGAGCTCACCTTCACATTCCCACTCCTTTTTCCATACATTTCATTATCACTTATTAAGTTTATGCGCACCATAGGCTTCATACTTCTCCCTGGACTTTCTTCTCCCATTTCCACACTTCTTCCTTCCTGACAAACCAGAAACAAAAAAAAAAAAATGGCACATGTTACTAAACCGGAAAGCTTAAGTTTATAGGTTATGGTATATTTAATCTTAATACTCTCGCAGTTATGTATGGGCTCGGATTTTACTTTTTGACATATTTTCGTTAGATATGGCGAAGAGTATAATGAGTACGTTTCAGTATTCGAAACTATAAGAGAACGATTTTTTGAAACATTTAAGTAAACTATAGGACCAAATTGAAACTTTCCATCAAACTACGGACTAGAATGATAAATTGACCTATTTTGGATTACTACTTAATTTTGAATGTCTGAATGCTTAAGCTTATGAGTTAGAGTAGCTGCAGGCATTCATACTCTGTGTGAAAATGAGTATTTCAACATTCTTTCCCTTTTGATAAGGGCCTCTTGCTTTCTCAATTTCAAGGCTTCCATTCCCTTTTTAGAGAGACTGCTGCCATCCCAATTCCTCAGACCGTTCAAATCAAGCTGGCATAATAAACAAACCTCAAAAGACTCAGCATTCAAAACGATACTCCATTTGCTAATTAAGTAACTAATTCTATGTTATTTGCATACCTTTATATCATCCTCCTCAAACTCTTCTTTTGGGTTGATGGACACTTTGTCTCCACAGTTGTTGCAACTCCTTTCTGCCATAAGACTTCTTCTGTGAGACGCTTGCGGTTTCCTTCTTTCGTCGATCATTGGTTGCCTCAAACTGGCTTCTATTCGGCGTCTCACTGCTCGGCCGCGAACTATTGCTTGAAGTCTCACTATTCCCTTTAGCGCTCTTAGTGCTTTCCTTGCCTTCCCCAAAATTTGAGATTAATAGTGAGTTTAGAATGCCTTTTGAAAATAGGCATATTTTTTAAGCCTTTTGTTATAAAATACTACGGACAATATCTCCATGTTCAACAAAAGGCTAAAGAAGATGATGAGTTTCAAGGAATGCTTACGAGACGTCCACGGAAAGCGCTTTGAATCTTAATCGCGGCCGAGATTCGATCTCTCCTCGAAAATGGACTGTAGAAGCCAGAAGTGGACGTTAGGCGGACGACCTCGGCTGCAGCATTGGCGGCAGCAACCGCAGCCTCCGCCGCAGCTGCTGTGGCAGCAGCAACACTCAAAGCCTGCCTTCTTCTCTCCTCTGTTGCTTTACATAGTGTTCTTTGTGGGGCTGCTGCAATTGCTTGGCGCTGCTTCTTATTCTTGAATCTTTCAGTAATCCATCTCCACTTTCTTTGTTTCTACATTATATTTTACATCCAAAGAATCAAAACAATTCAATTTAAAAGCAACAAATTTGAGATACAGAAAGAAAGTAAATCAATCTAACCTTTGTCTCTGATTTAATTTTGGGGTCAGAGGTAAATAACCTCTTGACCCAACCAAGCCAACACATTGTCTTTGCCATTTAAACAAAACGGAAAAAAGTCATATCAAACTCCATATTTGACTTCCTCTCAAGCCATTCCTGCCATTAAATAATGAAAGAGAGATCAGATTTCGATTTGGAAATATCGATACCCCGTCCATATGCCAACCCGAGCATCACTCAACTGATCGTAGGTTCGAATTCAACTGGGAAAAGGAGCCAAGAAAGAAGATATGAGCATACCTTGGCAGTGATGAGGGTGATGCAATTGCCATTTGGGAACTGATGATCTGCCTGGTTTGGTTAATTAAGATGTCATTATGATGAATTTCAAGGGCTTTTTGCAACTTTCTCTCTCCTCCAACTGTCAAATTTACAACTGCCATGGACTAGTTCAAAGTTTTTCTGTTACGGTGGAAGTACTTAATTGACCTCTATCCTAGGTAATAAGTCCATATATATGTTGTTCCATTTTCCAAACTTGTGCATGTGAAACCAATCTTTCATGACAATCATGATTCATTTGGTTCCATTAGGTGGCCCACCTTTTGCAAATAATCTTGTTTATGCCCAACCTATATATATTCCTTCACTTTCCTCCTATTCCTTTAATTTATCATTTTGATCCTCGTTACAAATTTAGATACACTTTTAAAAAGTTTCTACCTAATTTCTCGCAACGTCACTCAATAATTACCAAATTGTCTATTCGTGAGGATCCCAACAGAGTGTCTTCTACTTCTCATATGTCATGAACTAGATCAAAATCATCCTCAACCAGTCCATAAGAAGTAGTAATCTCTTAATTTGAAGTATCAAATATCTTTTATAAATCGTGTCAATCTATTATGCTCAGCGGTTTACTTTCTTCTATCGTTTATTTATCACATCATACAAAATCCTAGATCAATTCGATAGGCCATTTTGAATTAAAATTCAAACATCAAAGACAATTAAAATCTTCCAAACAGATTTTTCCACAGCAGGAAGAGGGAATTTTCAACCCCCTACCAAAAAGGCTTTGAAAGTACACAATAGTTCCATCACCAACCTTGTCAATTCTGGTACCACTTTAAATCCCTTTGACAAATAATATTTGGCTGTTTTTTATTTGTTAGTATTCAACAAAACAAGCATGCTTTAAA